TACATTGGCCACAGACGCTTTTCCGGAAAAAGGGCTTTTCCGGAAAAGCAGCCTGCCCATGTAGACGCTCCTTTTCCGGAAAAACTGAAAACGGAATAGTATTCCATTTTAAGCATTTCCGGAAATTCATGCCAGTGTAGACACAGCCACCGTGTCATTCCCGCCCCCGTACTCCTAGACACAAACACACATTGTGTGTTTGTGTCCTCTGTAGACCAGGGCCGGCCCATAACATTTTGGCACCTGAGGCAGAGAGCTCAAATGATGCCCCCTCGCTTGGGCCAAAACTTTGAAAGGTCTCAATTCTGCTTTCTTCCTGTTCTACTCCTCTCATCGCACTCCACCATCTCTGTGCATCTAGAGCAGAGAAAATACACACGCACCAGCAGAAGACACAATTTTCTACACTCTGGGTCCTAGCGACGCCTTCCCCCCAGTCTGGTATCTGAGGCAGCTACCTCAGTTCACCTCATGGTAAGGCCAGCCTTGCTGTAGACACACATGGGGGCAGAATTCCCGTTTAGTCGTAGTCAGTATGCCCATTTTACTGGTGAGTGAATTTTCTCAGAGTGGTTAAAAAGCTCAAAAAAGCTCCTAGTGAAATGTTGGTGCCTTAATAATAATAATAATAATGAATGGTGAAGCCAGGAACAGAACATTATTCTAAACTCTCAGCCACTGGGGAATGTAGACATATTGATCTTACAGGGGTTGAGAAGATTAAGGTAGTATTCAGGCTTGATTGATATTTAATAGGATAACTCTGATAAGATTTTCATTTCACACCTGTCAGGTGACACTACTTAGCTAGGTAGAGTTTCATTGCAATTTGTTTGCTTGAGGCTGTAGGGACACCACCTTGCCTTTCTGTGGTAAGGAACTGTTTTGTGGATGTCAAAGCTGTATCCTTAATGTTGCTGTAGCTAAAAGGAGTCTTCTTCAGCTTCAGTGGTAGTGGCCAAGTGTTTTGAAGCCATGGATCTACCTTAGTGAATGATGATTATACGGGATCATTACAGAACCTGAAACTGCTTGGTTTCCGATGCTGAATGTCTTACCTACCTGGGCTAATGGATCACTCACTACACGGTGAAGCTTTGAAAGCCTAAAAGTTTAAATGTAGAATAGTGATAGAAATGTAGCCGTGTTAGTCTGGTGTAGCTGAAACAAAATACAGGACTATGTAGCACTTTAAAGACTAACAAGATGGTTTATTACCAAAGGATATATATATATGGTTGTGACTATTTTCTTCCACTATTTGATCTGAGGAAGTGGGTCTGGCCCACGAAAGCTCATCATGTAATAAACCATCTTGTTAGTCTTTAAAGTGCTACATAGTCCTGTATTTTGTAAAAGTTTAAAGTGGTAACTTGTATGTGGTTTTCATTTCCATTTCCTGCTGCGGTAAAGGGAATTAACATCCTGTCCTATAACATGAGTGGTAGGCATTTACTTCCAATTCTGTCCTTAGGAAGTCACTTCCGTCTCCGAGGCCTAAATTTCCCCTTCGGTAAAATGGAAATAACACTGACATTTTTTACAGGAGGCTTGACAAGACTTGGGAAGTGCTTTGAGATCCTATTATGGAAGATGCTATGCAAGCGCATGTTTTTATTGTTCAATGCCTGGATTTAGAGTAAACTTAAAAAACAACAAATGGTCTGGTAGCACTTTATAGACTAACATAACATGTAGATGGTATCATGAGCTTTCATGGGCACAGCCCATGTCTTACCTCTAAGGCGTTTCCAGTCATGCATCTTGCTACTCACATAACTTTCCCGTATTCCTGGCAGAAGACTCAGCTGCATTCACATTCCTGATCCCCATGTTTTGGTTCAAACGTCAGAACTATACAATAAAGAAGATGACTTTTTGAGAGATTGACTCTGTGGAGGGGGTCTATAGCAGATACATGGGAGGAGAATGAACTCTTCAAATGGATTTCCCCAGCATGCAGTGGCATGTGTTACTTCGAGCACAGAGGGCAGAGTATTACAGGACCAGCAAGTGAAGAAAGCTGGTGGAGCTATGAGGAAGGAGGCCGGTGACAGCAGGGTGCTTGCACTTAAAGACCATCCAGACATAGAATCCTTTTTAAATGATACCTTAAGGTTTCCCCCTGATGAAATCAAACCCAATATGAAGATTAAATCTGCCACCCCAAAACCTCCCAGGAAGCCCAGGCTGGCGCGAGCATCATCGCTTGATGAGAAAAGCTGGAGGAAGAGGAGACTGTTTAGAATGAGTCAGGAAAATCTGATTGATCCCAATGAGACAAGCTCCTCCAATGGCTCTCTCCAGGAGACATCCCTGAGTCCTCCCACCAGGAGCAGAGTGGCACTCAATGGCAATGAGGGTTCTTTGCACAACTTGCAGGATGCTTCAGAACCGAGCTATTACAGAAAGAACAAGAGTAGCATTTCTGAGTCAGAGAAACAGGTCTCTGAGGTCCCCACTGCTTCTGTGGGGTTTATGCAGGGGAAAGAATCATCGGGTAGCAAATCCCGGCTGTCCAAAATAACACCCTCTCGACCACTGCCCCCCTTGGAACTCAGCATGGCCTCTCACGTGCTGAGGACAGCTAATAGGATTGACTCGGATTATATGGATTACCAACATTATTCTCAGAGCAGGTTTGAAAGGGTGAGCAGCAGTCTCAGTGACGGTAGGCTGCACAATAGCGGGATGGTCTACGATAGCTGTTCCACAGACTCCATGAAGTCTACATTCAGCCTACTTACCCCTCTTCGTGCCAAGGATGTTCGAAACAGGTACATTATTCTTCATCTTTTCCTAGCAGAGAGAATATGCAAGTTGTGACTAGATGGCCAATTGCTTTGCTGAATTCTGTTTGTCTGGAATAACTCACTTGACCAGTGAGTAAACTATTAGTTGTTTGTTCCCTTATTTTCACTGGAATATAGGAAGGGCAAATGGCTGCATTTTTTAATGGCTGCTTTATGAAGAGCAGCATGCTAGGAAAAAACATTTGAGGATGGATCAATGCGTGCTCAGGAAATTCAGGAAATATTTTGAGAGCACAAGCATAACATGTAGAAAGTGGCTGCTGTAATGAAGGTTTCACAGCAAAATACTTTTCACATGCATTGCTCTGAAGATTAATGTTTTAACTATTGAAGATGAAAAGCTCAGAAGGGCTTTTTCATGCTATGACTGACTTTCACATGAAAAATGATTCAGAAGTTAATTACTTTCAACTTTCTGATAATATACAAGAAGCTGGTTTCAAAGTTAAGAAACAGTAGGTATGGTTGCTTAGGATCAGTGTATTTAAAAAGTATATTTAGTTGGAATTAGAATGTTTCATGGATGGGATACGGGTTATTCCAAAATCCAGATAGTCTAGCAGAAGCTATTAGTTAAAATTGGAGTTTTTTCATTAGTGGGAATTGCACAATTTTCAGTGATATCTGATCAGAAAATGCCAATGTCCAGTTCATCTTTATTTCCTGTTTCTGGGTGGGAGGAGAATTTAAACAATCTACCAGGATTCGTAAATCTGATGAGAATAGCTTATTAAAGGAGAAGCACTGAGTACCTGCCATGTCCATTGGCGTCAGTGGGATGCTTGGCACTCTTCAGGATCAGCCCCTCATTTAAGCATCTGATCATTTAAGTGGATATGTAATGAGTCAAATTTGCCATGACTGGGATCTTGTCAGAAGTGGCACATAGAGTGGTATGACTCTGGGTGCGTTTGTCACGTAGTGCCAGCCAAAGCTTTACCTGCCATTCTCAGAAGTGAATTAGCTAATGAATTCCAGGAGTGACATCATCTGCTAATGTGATAGAGCAGTGGCAGTTCTCAGTTTTGCCGGAGGTATGTTCCTGACTTCCTGCTAAGTAAAGACCTAGAAGAATGCCTTCCAGCTGTTGGACATTAGTGCAGGCTTCCGCTACAGTCTGGTGGAGGTGTGCAGTGTCCTCAGCTTTCAGCAGTGTCACATCAATGGGAATTGGAGCTACACTGCTCATTACATGAACTATGTGGCTTCTCACAGAATCAGGCTGCTTGTTAGCAATTATTTTATCTGTCTCTCGCAGGAGATCCTCGACCACAGCTTTCTTAAAATCCCCTGGGAGAGAGAGCATAATTCTTCCCCTCCTCCACTTGCTATCTTACAAACCTGGAGAATCTTAGGCTACATCTACACTGCATCCCTCTTGTGCAAAAGCCCATGCAAATGAAGTGTGGATTAGCATATTGCCACACTTCATTTGCATAACTAATTAGGGGCCGTTTTTGCACAAAAATACCCTTTTGCGCAAGAGCCATTCCTCATTTTTTCAGGAAGAATGGCTCTTGCACAAGAGGGTGTTTTTGCACAAAAAGGAGCTGTGTAGTCAGCTTCTTTTTGCACAAAAGCCTCTTGCTTAAAAATGCCCCTAATTATGCAAATGAAGCATGACAGTATGCTAATCTGCACTTAATTTGCATGGGCTTTTGTGTAAGAGGGATGCAGTGTATATGTAGCATTACAGAAAAGAGTATGAAGAAGGGTTTGTTATGAAGAAAATTCCTAACTGTCAGGGTGGTCAAATATTGGAATAAATTGCCAAGGGAGGTGGTGGAATCTCCCTTTCGGGAGATATTTAAGAACAGGTTAGATAGACATCTGTCAGGGATGGTGTAGACGGAGCTTGGTCCTGCCTTGAGGGCGGGGGGCTGGACTCGATGACCTCTCGAGGTCCCTTCCAGTCCTATGATTCTTCAGAGTGAAGAGGGAATAAGCTACCAGAGACTCTCTGCAGTCTTCAGCAGTGTTCCATCTAAGCTTCACAGGTCAGCTCCATGCATTGAGCCCTGAGCCTCTGTCTGGGAGGGGCTGATTAGACGCGTGAAGCCGTGCTGCCACACAGCTTAGAGAGAATACTGGTCTGCAGTGTCTCCAGGAAACCCATGCCTAGAACAAATGCTGGGTTTTATAAATGACAGGCTGTAGCTCCAAAAGCAAGAGAAATGTTTGAAAAGCGAAGAAAGGCCCCAGTCAAAACCCCAGTTTCATGCAATCTCCAGATTTATGGGGTGCATGATACCCCAAACTGGAACAGAATATTACCCATTCTCCTGCTATGCTTCCTATGGATATCTCTTGCTTGTTTGTCTTCCACATTTGGTTAGATTCAGTTGTTGTTCTGGAGGGTACAGGCTTGTGAGTCCTCTTGCACAACTAGTTGCCAGCACAGCACCAATTTACACAGCCCTCAAAGCGGAAAGCAGCAACACATTGTTATTAATAAATAGCAGGTGTCATTGTCTGCTTTCTATACTGGGACATTGCCAGACACTAAAGAAGAAAGGTGATCGATCATCTGTCCATCCCAGTTTGCAGCTTTAATTTTCTTTTTATATTTGAAAAACTTCTCCTGCAGGCAGGTTATTGCATATTTGTCTCTTATGGGTTTTCTTGCACCTTCCTTTGAAGCAGCTGTTGGAGATGGGACACCGGGTCAGACCCTGCATTCCCTGACATTATACTATAATCATTAGTTGCCGGGTTTAAGGCTCCACAGACTAAAGCAGATTAGACATGTTAATTCAGCCTGCTCTCCTTTCCTGAATGTCCCTACCAAACCCCTGACCATTGGCAGCAGTAGATTCTCTGCAGGACTCATGGGAGGAGCAGGCCCATGGAGGAGGGTGAGAGGGCAAAGAGGGCGATTGTCCAGGCCCAGCAATTTAAAAGGGCCCAGGGATACTGGCCTCTGCTGCATTAACTCTTCCAAAAATCTCTCTTGATTCAAAGATGCTTTTGATATGAATCATGCAGGTTCCGGGGCGGGGTTACTTGGCTTTCCCCAGAGCAGGCAGGCTGGATGGGGGAAGAGAGGGAGTGGCCAGCCTAGGGTTCCTCTGGTAGGGGGAGGGGGCACTTGTGGCTCCAGCTGAGGGAGGTCAGGCAGGGGCCCATTGATTTCTGCCCTGAGGCTCTAAATTGGTGTCAGTGAGCCTGGGGAGAAGATGTGGAAATCCAACTGTTTCAAATTTCATATGCTGTTTTAGTTAGGGCTCCAGAAACCTCTTATTTGACAGAGTGAATTGAAGTGAGAATAAGACTATTTGACTTGGACTCCTTAGTTCCCTGCAGCCTAATGCAGGAACTATTGTAATTTGTTTATTGTGTTAGGTTAACTGATTGATATTATGTTGGATGCTAGTTCTTGGTGGGGGTTAGTCATCAGATCAGTCACTCTGTTTTTTCCCCCATATGTGAGTTTAGTACTAGAAGAAGTAATACTCTGTACAGTCACACATCAGGTACAGCACAGATGACATCTCTGCAAGCTTCCCCGACCCTGATGCGCCAGTCTGACCTGCCCTGACTGGAAGAAACTAGAGAGAAGAGACTAGTTCAGTGTTTATGGTTCGTTCAATCCTCGAACACTCTACCGAGATTAGTATTAAAGGTGGCATTCGGGGTACTGTTCCTAGCAAATTCATTTTCCACAAGCCAGTGGACAGGCAAGTGCTAGCATCTCCTTTCCATATCAATCTGTGTGGTGTTTGAATTGGGTGACTAGAGAGATGCAGCTGCTGCCACTTCCAAGTGGCAACTGTGAGTTCACCCTCCTAAATAAAATGAATTTGGGAGAACATTTCACCCAGAGATTATTCGCCTTTTCTTCTACCAAATAACTAGTATACTTGCTTACTAGTATCCCATCCATTCACCATCTTGTCATGCTTATATTAGAGATGTTAGGAAGTGAGTAATTAACTAATCGTGGATAGTATTTCTATTAACTATACGATTAGTCGATAAGGGAAGAAACCACAGTCCCGGCTTGCGCTGGATCCAGCCTGGCTCCTACTACATTTAAACTACAGTGCTGCAGCGGGATAGCTCCCAGAGCTGGTGTGAACTGGGACTGAGCCAGGCTTGCTTGGTCCTGGCTCATGCTGGGTCCAGCAGCCCCTGTCCCTGTGGGGGTAGGGGGTGTCCATAGACAGGGGTACTCTGCAGGATGTGAAGCAGTCTCTGCCTCCCCCCTGCGCTTCTGCCTCTGCTAGAGGCAGCAGCCCGGGGGAGTGCTGGGGGAATTGGCTTTTAAGCTGGCTCCCCCTAGTACCGGCTTCTGCTTCCCCCCCTTTCTGCTTCTGATACAGTAGTTGACTACTCTGCTACAGAGGCAGCAAGGGGCAGGGATGCAAGTAGTCCACTACTCAACTACTCGCTTACATCCCTAGCTTATATGGCATCCACTGTTGTGGTAGTGGAGCATTATGAAAGTTATCCAGACCTAGATGAGGTTTTTCTCCTCTGAGTGTGAATACAATTTTAACTGGAGCCTGGCTTGATACTCCAGTGAGATATATGTTCCCTCCGATTATAGTGCTCCTTCCTGAAGTTCCGTCCACTTCCTCTTCCTGAAGATGACTGAACACAGGTTTCTCCAGAGCTGCCTGTCACCAGTCTGAGCACTGGTCAAAGCTGAGTGGGGATCACTCGAGAGAATTGCAAGCCCCTTTATTAGTGCTCAGAAAAAGCTCTCTAAATTAGATGTTGTATTTTACACTCTTCAGTTACATCTTGCCTGTTAAAAAATGTCCCCGTTTAGTTATAGTCAGGAAGCATGTGTGAGGCACGATGCTGAGTGTTCTGTTTCTCCAGAACGTGACCTCTGAGGATTCTATCAGCACAGTTTCACCCACTTTCCTAAGTATCAACAAATCTGACCACTTGTGGGTGTTGAAAAACCTTGTGGCACTTTTCACTAGATAGTGTATGGACCCTGCTGTTCTGAATAACATTCTGAATAGTGTTCTGAATAGCATTCAGCATTGCATCTTCTTGCCCTGGAAACAAGCTAACATTTAATGCTGCTTTTTTGAAGGCTGTGAATATTAGCTCATCTTTAAAGGAACTTTTAATCAACAAAGTACTGTAAAAATGTTGTTAAGATTTGGGTCTGTGCATGAGTGATGCAAATCAGGATTTCAGCAACCAGAACATTTGCTTATATTCCTTTTTTAACAATATAGAGTTTTAAAAATACATTTCCTTCTCCTTGTTTCACAGAAGCTATTTGGAAGGCAGCCTTCTGGCTAGTGGTGCATTGCTGGGTTCAGAAGAACTGAGTAGGTATTTCCCTGATCGGAACATTGGAATATTTGTGGCCACCTGGAACATGCAAGGCCAGAAGGTGGGTACATGAAGCTCCTGAATTTGGCCCTTGGCCTTGCATGTTTCTCCCCGTGTTTGTTAAACAGACTAGTGCCACTGTTTCCTGTGGAATTGTCACTTTCAATATATTTATGATGATGATCCTCATCTGCCTGAGTAGCTGAGTATGACCAATGTAATGATATGTAGAAATGACCAATGTAATGGTGAAATTCTGTGACCTGTAGAAGTTGGGATCTCCTTTTTTTTTTTTTTTTTTTTGGGGGGGGTGCTCCCAAAGGAGTGTCTCTGAAGGGAAACATAATCCTAACTACAGCTATCTATAGCAGAGAAACCCAAGATTGCTGCAACTGGGAGACTTAGGGACAGAGCCAGAGAAAGATGGAGGAAGACAAGGCAGTGGATGACGGTGTTCAGCACCTCTTGGGATCAGGACAAGAAATTAAAAATACACACTAGGTCACAGCATGTATTGTGTGACCAAAACATTTCACCCCCTGCGTCAGTTTTTATATCTACAGCATGGGTACAATGATGTTTGGCTAGGGGCGGGGATGTTACTAGACTAGATTGGTGCTGTGCATCTCAGAACTAAAATGCAGTGGAAGTGCAATATATTAGCAGTGATTGTAAATGATTTATTAACTCATTACGCTAGAACCCTTTCTGGATTTTCCTTCCCCTCCTATCCAAAGGCTAGCATAACAGACGCTGTGCATCTCTTCCTGTTTTTTTGCAGGAACTTCCAGAGAATCTGGATGACTTCTTGTTCCCATCTGATCCTGACTATGCCCAGGATATGTATGTCATTGGGGTTCAAGAAGGCTGTCCAGACAGGTAGTGGAAACAGTGTAATGAAGAGCCACCCTTGATAATCACTGCTGGGTTTTTTATCCTCTTCAAATGAGTTTTCAGTATAGCAGAATACAGAATCAAATTGCCTTGGTGCTTTATTTATATTTCATAAAACTGTGAATTCATCAGTCTAAGGAGAAAATGGTTTTTAGAGGGTCTCTTTACTGAACATCATACTAGCCCTAGTCACCTACCGTCACCCCAGGTTTGGGCTCTGTACTCCGCTTGCTGAAGGCAGTAGCCAAACCTCCTGATTTCAGTGGGAGGCGTCAGCTCTGCCGCTGTCTTGTGTGACTTCAAGCAGGTTAGCATGTCACAGTACTGCGAAGTGTCAGGCTGACAGGTGCTGAGAACGTCCATTCGTTCTTAGCGTCCTTCCAAGATTTTCAGAATGCCTCTGGCAATAACGTGTCAGAGTAAAGCTGCTGCACACGACCGACAGGGTGCTTACTGTCTTTCCCTGTGGGTTTTATATTTAAAAAGCTGTTTGTCTTCAGATCAGTCCCGGGCACCATTGTTTTGACAAAGGAGATTTGCCATGAAAACCATTATATGGCAGCAGTTGCTGCATCCTTAGACTGCTGGTTTCCCCTGCTGCCTGTCCATTCCATCATCTTCCTCCCCACCATCTGCTTCCTCCTTATCACCAGTGGGCATCGTTCTGGCACCTCCCAATGGCTACATCTCTCTCTCCTACTACCCTCCATGCAGGGGCGGCCCATGGCTGTAGGCGGATTCGGCCGCTGCCTGGAGCGCCCACCAATGACGTTAGTCCATTGACGGCCCTGCAGGCGGGGGCGCCAATCGCGCGTTCTGCCTGGGGCGCCAGCTGCTACAGCCGGCCTTAGGCTGCTCCTGCCTCCATGTTGCCCTGGAGTTGTGATGTAGCCATGGTGCTTTTGTTGTGTCTCGTAGAAGAGAGTGGGAGATCCGCCTGCAGGAGGCGCTGGGGCCCCATTATGTCATGCTGTATTCAGCTGCACATGGAGTTCTATACATGTCAGTGTTCATAAGAAGAGATCTCATCTGGTTCTGCTCAGGTATGTTGTTAATGAAGTGCTGGAGAATACAGAGGGGGGACATTGCACTGTCACTGTGTGAGGGATAGCGGGGCTTGTAATGGTGGATGGAAACCTCAGAGAGCCATTTCAGTTAAAGGTACAAATTTCACATTCCTGATGGAAGTATTCCTGCCATGCCAATAGGACCCGGCCTTCTGAGAGCTCCATGGGGTTTGTGTGGTAACTTTTGTATTTATGATCCACAAACTGGAAGTGATGGCTTTTAGGACTAAGCCCCCTTGAGTTTGAGGTTCCTCTCCCACCAGGGGGAGTGTGTCCTCTCATCCTCCTGAAGGCTTGATTCCCAGATAGACAAGCTGAGTGACACTTGTCTTGCTGTGTGTGTCTCGCAGGTGGCACCTTGCCTGCAGAGGCCCTGTCTGTGCCACACGGACCATCACAAACCTGTGGCACTTTCCTAGGTGTCTTCTGTATGCCCTGAGCCATAATATGGCCCCACTCCACCATTGTGTGGTAGTGTGCATGTCTGTTAACTGCATAGCTTGGCACCTGTCAGAAGGCAGAAGTACTGTAGTGGTGCTGGGTGTGTGCCCTTTGTAAACCGGGATCCTCGGAGCCCGAGCCAGCAATGCAGCAGTCTGATGAAATGACTCTCACTCCTCCCATTTCCACCCTCTTTCCTCCCCAAAGTGCAGGGTCAATAGGCTTCCTG